CATATATACATATACACGTATACACACACATATATATATATATGTATATACACACATTATGTACATATACATATACTATAGGTACACACACGTGCATAGGCGTATACATACACATGTGACCATGTGTGTATATAGAACACAGATACATACATATGTATATCTATATATAGATACAGTTGAGAGACAGGCAGAGAGAGAGAGAGAGAGAGACAGAGAGAGAGACAGAGCGGGAGAGTGGCCAGAATCGGCTCCGGCGTCTCCATGCAGCTTTGAACAAATGAGGCGATCCCTTTTATTGCTGCCTTCTGCTTCGCACCCTCCTCCGTGCGTTGCCCGATCGACACCGCACCACAGAGGTTAAATGTGCACCCTACTCGTTGGTAGGAATAACTGAAGACGAAGCCGACGAGGCCATGGAGATCCTTCAGGGGCATTTGCATCTGTTCAAGTCAGCAAAAGCACCCTGGTGATGGAGCCTTCCAATTAGCAGTGGCAAGCGTCCGGGTTTCTCACACGCATCGAGAAGGCTCACAACGGGAACATCAACAGTGAAAGCGAATCATGCTCAGAATCACAAACATGCTTAGGCAAGAGACGCAGCTGCTGGCCTCACACGACAAAGAGTGTAGCTTCATCTGGCTGGCAGCCTCATGGCAAACCCTCACAACACAGCGGCCACTGCAGTATGCTTGGCAAACTGCTCTCTTCCCGAATCGCAGCGACGCCCGGCCCGCAGGCCGGTCCACAAGTATATGCTGGATTGTAATTTGAAGTTTGATGGCTCCCAGAAGAGTTTGACTCCCAACTGTGAATAGCTCGCTGAATAGGATGCTTGACAGGATATAGTATAATTTATAATTAAGACCACAACGGAAATCCAACGTACTCCAAAATCGCACCCAGGGATTCCACAGCAGATGATGGAGTCAGCCAATCTTAGTCTTGCAGGGTTCGGCCTGCCGACAAGCAGAGGGCTGAACCTCACCAGCCCGCTGAACAGTGGGGCTTGGAATACCCCCGGGTCTGTGGGCCGGCCAGAGCGACTGTTTCCAGGACGAAAAATCTCCCGGGACCCACCCACCAAACTAACAAACTGTGTGTGTTGATGAGTCTGCGCCAAGGAACCCTGAGCCAGTGCATTATGATAGTGCGTTGTGCTATTGCAGGCCCAGGAACAATCCTCGCATGGGAAGGTTCTGTTCTGGTTCCACAATCGCTTGCTCCCAGCCCTCGCGAGGCCATGGTACCATTTCCTCTGAAGTTGCTGGTACGTCACTGGTCGGGCTTCGGCAGAGCTTTATCGCACTTAGGGCAGTTTCTTCGAATATTCTGATGCCGAGTATCTGGAGAGCCGTGGACACCAAGTCGCCATCGATGCTGATGGAATTCCAGGACCCACAATGGTGCCTGCAGCTGTCCAGGAAAGCACCGGAGCGAGGGTTCTTGGCCAGCAAGCTCTTCAGCAGACCTCACTTTGAGGGATGTGAGGAAGTTGAGAGACTGGCGACTAGTCCAAAATCGCACTAGTAGTCCAAGGCTCGCTCGGTGATGTTCTTGCCAAGGACTTTCGTTTTGGCAGCACCACCAGTCCCTTGCACATGATCGGTTTGCCAGGAATCCTCATCATGATCGCTACGGTCAATTGCCACCGCAAGCAAAAGCGCTGCTAGGTGCAGGAGAAGAGCATACATGGACTGCAATGCAAAGACGGGTGAGTGAATGAACTCTGCCGCGTACTCTGCAAACATACACCTCCATTCCTGCAAGGTGGATTGCACATGTGCCAAAATCTCCGGGTTGTAAGCTGACTTCTGCCATGCCAAGCGGAACAAGGGACAGAAGTGCTCACCTGTGCTTGGAATCGCCAGTCTCCCTGAGCCGAAACCCCCAGCACTCTACTGATTTAGCAGCTGCCTGCCCCACAACCTCGGCTAGCGATCTGTATGGTTATCGGCAGGTCGGGCCAACTGTCTGGACACCTTCACAGCTCGCTTCTGCTTGCAGCTGCTCTCCTCGTTCGTGTGGCGCGCGAGGCAGCGCTGATTGATGCCAGAGCTGGCATTCTGAATGTGGAAGGTCCTCGCATTCTCATCTCATCGGCACTCATGCGCGAACAGTGGACAAGCCCTTTGCGACCCTAAACCCTTTTGCAACTGGCCTGCTGCGACTCCGCCAGGACCCTAAACCCTAAGTTCCTAAACCCTTCCCTGTTCAACGCCAAGGTTCCACCACAGACCGCAGTGATAGTCTCCGTTGATGGTTTCGGTAAGGAGGCCAGGAGCTGAGCTGTCTGGAGTGCAGCGAACTTCAGGGTCCTTTCCACTAACGGCTCGCTCACGGGTTTCGGGCTCTGAAACTGTCACATATTACATTACATGATACTACAATCATGATCATAAAATATTTTTTCATGCAACATTATATCATGAGCATTACATAATGACACACTATATGAGTCGCATACTGCTTTGTTTTGAGTTTTGGTGTTAGGTCACGTTGTTGGTTTCCACATACTAGGTACGAACTAGTTCATGCTGCAATAATGCATAACAGTTCATATATTGTACAGAAGATGCATATGCTTTATGTTAAACATTACGTGCATCTATTGCACAGTATGGGCTATGTGCTATGTTGTTATAATGTGTGTGTGTGTTCATATATATATGTGTATATATATATATATCATATACTGTAGTAGCTGTAGCACATATGTCGTGATGTATGTTATGTCTCACTGGCTTGTTTGTATATCGTTGATGGTATATACCAGGAATCAGGGATGTAGAACATAACGCCCAGCATGTAGTCTATAGTTGGGCGCGTGCATTCCCCCCCCCCCCTACCAGCCATACGTTTTGGCATCTTCCCCCACTGCGCCCGGGATGTACGGAAACAGGGAATCGCTATTTCTAAGGCTCTAAGGAGATGTTTTTCTCAGCAAGCTATTGGGGAATCGCAGTTTCTAGGGCTGTGGTTTGTGGCAAGGCACTAGGGAGTTGCAGTTTGCTGTCAGGTAATCGCAACCTGTGCGGAAAGCTACCCATTGCAACTTACAAGTAAGTAAACGTAGACGCTTCAGCACAAGCATAAAAGGCTGCTGCAATACACTAGTAAGATATGGTATATTACATAGAATACGACATAGATATGACAATATAAAGCAAGATCAGGCAACATAAGGCAGAATTATAACGCGAAGTCTGGTATAAACCCATTTGTTTCAATACACATTAAAGGCAAATACGGTACATATACGGTACAGAATACATAGCATATCGTATTTGCAAAATGTGTAGTATTTCACGCAACCGAAGTAAACCAAACGTAATACAAACTAACATGATAGAACACAACCATTTTGAGAATGACCCGTTACAGTGCATCACATGATTCATTTAAACCTATGTTTTGCAAAATGACATGGTGTAAGGAATCATGCTTTAAACTAATATGGCACTGCATATAGTACAGTACCATAAATAAAATATTCCACGATAAGAAATAACATGTCCCGATACGACATGAATTGATATGGCATGGTGCAGAAAGCATTCTAATGTGCTGCAATATGCAAAGATAAGATAATTGACAACCAGGTGCATACCCTATATGACACAATACAGTCTGGCGAGTCTAGTAACATCAGATATCAGAGGATATGTCTTAACCTACGATTGGACATAATGAAAATTTCAAGAATCAGAATGATTCACATCAAGATGTTCAATACAACTTATTTTGAGATGATATGATGCGATATAGGACAAGTGGTAGAATATCTAACCAAGCTTTAGTTAACATACTTAATATGTTCATACAACGTGTGATCCATGCTGATACATGTCTAACTCAAAATATGTAATGTAGCATAAGACAGTATAGCACAATGGTTGCAAGAGTATAGTGGCAGAATAACATATGCCACACGGCATGATGGAGTATCATTTCGCGGGCGCGTGTACTTTGTAACAGAATTTCAGGCATGACACTTCTAGAGCATAGCATAGTAAAGTAGAGTAGGGTATGGTAAAGAGTGATAGTTTAGAGTAGTGTCTAACGTGGTATACAGTACAGTATACATTATAGTATATAGTATAGTACAGAGATGTACAAAGTACAAAATATGGTGTAGTATGTATTGCAGTGCTTCCTCGAGTTCATAGCATAACCTTCAGTGTAGTATATAGACTATTGTCTATAGTATAGTCTGCAGTGTAGTCTGTAGTATAGTCTAAAGCATTGTCCACAGTAGATTTTAGTATGGTTTCGTATAGAAGTAGTAGAAAGTATATTATATAGATGGGATATAGTATGATGCAGTTGACTACAATTGTAAGATCTTCAACCGTAGTAGGGTAAGGGAGCATAGCATGTGGGGGTTGATCGATACTATTGTTCCGATGGGTGACCATTTAATACGCCTTGCGCTCGCCCTTGCGCACTCTTGCGTGCTTCTTGGGCACACACGAGTTTTTCAAACGCGCATGTTGTATGATGGTTATGTTCTATATTGATATATAGCCATACTACTGCCCTTGCGCGCTCTTGTGCTCGCCCTTGCGCACACTCCACGTTTTGAAGGCAATTTCAATAGTGACTATATGAATAAATCGCCTCTGGAAAGCAAAGTCAAGAGAAGGGGGTTTAGTCATATATTGAATATTATGTACGAAAAGACAACAGAGCGAAACATATCATGAACTAAGGATCCTACTGGCGTTGGACGCTTTGACTCTTGACGACCTGGTTGAACCGAACTAGGCATCAATGTGCTGTGCTGTCTGTTCTCACACTCGTAACGCCAGAGGCCTGACCATCTATACCGATCGTTCCGTGAAACATCTTTTATTTCAAAAACCTTGTCACCTGCAGCAGGGTCTAAGTCGTGCGTTTCGACACACAACGTGTGTTTTGAAACACGCGTCTGCCAGGTAACCCACATTAACCAAGCAACCCATTAACCCAATCATTTGGCCAGATGGACTTGATGCAGTATATAAACCTGTTACCCATTACTCCTTTTGCCCAAGCGAATTTGGGAGTAGGCTACAGCCCCAACCCATTAACCGATTGACCCAATCATTTTGCCCAAACGGAGTAGGCTGTAGCCTCAACCCTTTAACTCATTAACTCATTGACCCAATGACTTGCCCAAGTGGGAACGGACCCTACTCCCAAGTCCATTTGGGCAGGATGATTGGGTTATTGGGTTACCGGCTTGGGCCTGCCAACTCCATTTGGCCAGAAGATTGGCTTGTTGGATTAATGGGTTACTGGGTTGGGGCCTGCCAAGTCCATTTGACCAGAATGATTCTTTACCTCTCGCATGGCTGAGGATCTATGCCCACTAGCGAGGTTCGTAAGGATGCTATAGATCTGCGACTGTGCTAGATGAGGATGATCGGCTCCACGATTGTCACTAGCCCTATTACAAGACCATCCGGAATCGGGAACCAGGATCAGCCACATCGTCTGGGTTGTGTTCACCACCTGCTCACCTAGCCTCAAACAATACAACCAATTGGGTTGAGCAGCATCGGCAAACACAGCCGAGCAGCTAAAAGAGCTAGGACTCAAGGCCGCTGTACCAGTGCAAAAGCAGCAAATAGGCGACTTCAGGCAAAATGCCACATCAGCATCGGAAGCATTGACGACATGCAAAACAAATTCCAGAATGATTGGGTTGATGGGTTAATGGGTCGGGGCCTCCGAAGTCCATTTGGCCAGAATGCTTGGGTAGTTAATGCGTGGGGCTACCGGGGTGTTTCGAAACAGACACGGGGTTTCGAACCCGACCAGGACGCACGCAACGTAGAAGGACGCCCGCGTACAACACCAGAAACACACGAAGATGCAATCCTGCAGGGGAGGATAGCCACCTACCCGCCTTCTAGGTTATAGTGTAGAACTGAATAGATAAGGTTCATAATATTGAACCTCTCCGTACATGTTGATAAATTGCAGTTGAGGTCTTGACAAGCCGTTCCCTTACAAGGAACGGGAACCCATGTCGTCCTGGTAGTCAAGAAAGAACCCGCTGTCCGGCATTCCAACGCATTTAGCTAAAGGCTGCGCTGCATGGAGCCTGGGCCCGTGCCAAGCAACCGTCGATTCAGTGACCGAGCCCTCTGCATAGTGTACTGAAGTGTACTGAGATTCTGCGCTACGACCTGATGGCTGCTATCCGCTATAGCTGCTGTTGATTCTTACGGGTCTGGCATGGGTGCTGCAACCAGAGAGGGCTGAGCAGCGACTCGCACCATTGGTCGGTGTGAAGAAATGTTGCCAGACCACCAGCGCTGCAACCAGACACGATCAGGTCGCTGGCATTAGCGAGGCCCTGATTTTGGAGAAGATCCTGAAGCTTCGTCTATGTGCCACCTACGTCAGGCAGACGAGAAAATCTAGCAAAATGGAGACCGCTCCTGCTCGAAGGCTTCTCGAATGCGCTGCCCCCGGAAGTGCAGCTTGGTGCCGTTGTGCACCGTAACCTCTGTGAAACTCTGGACGATTGCTTAGTCACGGCGGTTTTCGGGGCGGCCAATCCGAACTGAGATCTGGATTGCAAGGTCTGTGCCCCAATTGCTGATGTCTCGTTTGCGGATCCGAAGCAAGAGCCCTAGAAGCCGAAATTGAGCAGGTAGCTGTGGCATTGTTCCCGCTGAAGCTAGCGCCGTCACCTCCAAAAGAATATTCCAGTCAAGCTTGGAGTTGGTAAGAAGCGCCAACTAATTAAGGAGGCGGCAATACATCAGAAGAACATGATTCCAGTTGTACCTGAGTGAGCTTTGGGCCCTCATTCGAGAGCATCGGTAGACGCAGGTTACATGACCTTGACAAACCTCAAGACCCCTGAGGCCCGGACATCATCGGATTGACCGCTGCATCCGTCGAGAAGTACCCATCTGGCACCATTGTCCACAAGAGGTCTCACTTCTCACTGTCATATTAATATTTGAAGAGCAAAAGGCGGCCAAAGCAAACAGAACAGCACGAGGCTGCTGGCCATGACTGGTGCCAGCAGCAATGGTCAGAGACATGACTCCACTAAGGCACTTCGTAGGTGGCGAGATAGGGATGCCATTCAAAACGGTGCCGGAAGAAAACATGTGCTGTGGTGCAAATGCCTAAGACTTGGCCAGGGACTCCGCCAGCTAGAAGTGCCATTTACGGGCGTGCTAATGGTCTAAAGCTTCGTTTGTGTGAGCTATGCCAAACAACGGAACGGAACCGACTGTTATGGAGTCCGTTGTTTCGTCGCTACCTGAGCACTCAGAACCGGACCAGTGGGTCCGGATAATCCGGACTGCATGCTAAAGTATGGCAGAACATGGTAATCAGACCAAGCAAAAAGGCACTCATGACAACATCAGCATACATCAGCACTGCTATCTTTACTCCTGCACGCCAACAACACGGGCCTCAATCATTCTACGCAGCACAACATGCGCAGATATGTAAAACATAGCCACAACCTGAGCCATCTCTACCGTAAGCTTGCTAGACCGGTCCCTTTCTATGTCTCCACTTGCACCACCCGCACGAGATACATTCGTCTAACAAATAATACAATGTACTAAATACAACTAGTTGTCTCTACTATACGATACGATACTGTGGTATACCATGACATTACGATGATATACTAAGAGAGCTAGCTTTGTGCAGCGATCCGCTTCAAGTGCCTTCCATCGAAGCGGTGGCAGGATACTTGGAAGACGACCCCAGGTCCTGAAGGACACGGCTCCCGCACTCTTAACTGTACGGACCATCACTGCTATGACCAGACTGTGCAACCTTCAGTTCATGGCCACAGGGATGAAGTTGAAAGTGAAGGGATTGAGTTCCGGTGGTGCTTTCGAGCATCTGTCTTCGAACGGGCTACGCAGTCGTCAAAGGACTCGCACCAGCCGCCTCCCTGATGGTGCAAGTACCTGGTCATTCCCCTGCAGTCTTGGAGGGAAAGGCTTGCACATCTCGACACTAGTCGTCGAAACAGGTGGGGAAATTGACTGCCGCAGATTTGACGGTGACTTGTGTACACTCCCTCAAGACGAGAGATCAAAGTTCTTTCAGCTAGCGGGATCATAGTTGAAGGCGAAATCTTGCTATGCAGTCGGCTGTCATCCTGCCATTCTTAGGATCTCCTCATTGCTGGCTGAGACTCCACTTGTTCACACCCGAGCCGGAACCTCTTCAAGAGCGGGACACGCGCGTGTATCTCGCTCTGCTCTTGGCTCGCCGATGCTCAGGCTTCCTGTCTGTGCTGTTACATCGTCCAAAGCACGACCGTGTCTCAAGCAGCACTGGAGTACTGAGTATTGAGTATTGCATCTGACCCATTCACCAGGCTGAGGTGGTGCTCTGGAGATGCATGACTATCTCACTACAGGCTCTGTGTTGCAAATCTTGCTGAGATGGCATGGGTCGTACCAGTGTAGCATTCTCAACGCTGTAACTGCATCATGCAGTACTCCCTGCACATGCACTTCCGCACTGCCATGCTGCGCGTGCACATCGGCCTCTTCTGAGATAGTAGACCGGAGGAGTGCCATCCAGGCACACCGCACCAGCTCTCTCAGCAGCCTGGCTTCAAGAGTGAAGCTGGACGTGAGCATGCATCGGCCTGGTCTTAGTACGGTCTTAGGGTGGATATTGTTCATCGTTTTTGGTTGCCACTCCACTTAGACTCCACTTCTTTGGCTGAAGCATATTACATGGTGCATATGCCTTACGGCAAGCACGGAAGTATGGCTGCTCCTGTTTACGTTCTGGCTGCATCCCAGCTTTGGCACACAGTCCTCCGTCATCTCGTGCTTTTCCTGCGACTCCGCCGAAACACGAAATGCCCATAGCAGGCCCAGGATCCGCAGAACGCCATCCAGGCGACTCGCCGCCATCGGAAGAAGCACTGGGAATTAGGAGCACCGACCGACCGCCTGAACCGAAAGAAACGCAGGGCGGCAAGCACGGGATAAACTCTTAAAATGTTCAATCCTATTCTTTCGGGTTCCTTTGTTATATACACCGTGTAATTTACCCCAAGCCCTGTTGTAATTGTCAACTCCTAAACACAGGCCATGACCCATGGATTCGCATCCTGCTCTAATAGATCGTGACCTGTCAGCTTAAAACTGGCATACCTCAACCTGTGAACCTTGACGCTTATACAATATACAACAGCATGTGGCGATGAGACACTATGTGTACGTGTATATATATAACGTATGTATATGTATACACGAATATGTACATAATAGTAAATCATGAATAACGTATACGTTATGGCATGTACATAATGTGCGATAGACGGCGGTGGTCCGGTACCGAGGAACTGGCAGTGTAGTGGCAGAACAAGGCCTCCGCATGCCGCGTGTGGCCGGAAGCCTTGCGAGGTGCAACCCACTCTGCTTCTTCAGCGGTGCATTTCACATTCATGGCCTCTGTGTATTGCATCGACTGAATCGAAGCATGTTTACGATGTAACTATATAAGCAGTTAGCTCGCACAGAAGTTGCACTTGCAGCCTTCGCTGTACCAGCAATTCGTACGTTTGGATTCAGCTACGTATTCTTTCACCACTGATGGGCAGACTGACAGATCGATAACATGTAAGACAAGTTTACTGCATGTATGTATATTTTTGATATACACATATAGTTATAGTGTATATATACATATATATAAATATTATATATATATATACTTGAAGGATCGTGGTGCTTGT